AATTACCAGGAAGCGTGGGACATGAAAAATTCCAAGCTTATGACCCCCTGAATTCCGGCTGGTCCTTTTAGCTGGGGTACAGAGCAACTTCAGCTCTTCCAACTGCATGTTCCGTTGTCAGGAAAAACGGTACTAGCAACCAAAAGAAGCTCAACTGCACAACCTCGACGTCCAGGTTAACTTGGATGCAAACCGGAATCACTGTTTTTTGTTTAGTAAGATGGTCATCTTTTAAAAGAGTGTTATTCAACCCCGTATAAGGAGAAAACCCCAAATGATGGAAGAATTTCTTTTGGTCGTCTCACATAAGAACAGTTATCAGCTTCATACTGGCTCAGTAGGTGGCTTCTGTTGAACTTCGTAGATGGGTGGCATTTTTTCTTATTTCTTACGGCGAATCAGGTGGTCCACTTCAATAGGTAAATTATATTTCCATTCCCTGGTAAGGCCTAACCTATGCTGTTAAGATGGTTTCACCTTGTCAACCAGGGACAGAAAAGTTCAGCTTCCCACAGAGAAGTACTGAATCAACTTACGTGAGAGAAAGATGGTAGTGAATTTTTGCAACTCCTTGAAGACGCGATATATTAAAAAGTTTGCAGTATAGAACAAGGGGATTGCGGAGTGCATCAAGATCACTGTAGACTGTTTGTTGAATTTATTACTTTCAGTGCTTCCGGGGACAAAGAATTTAGTTTTTTGTGACTGAGTAACGATCTGCACTTAGATCAAGACAACAGCAATCTGTTCTATTGACCGCGATTGGTCATTCATTATCAAAGGCTCGATCAAACGGTATTTCCAGAGTAGAAATATCAATACCCGACCGTCGTCAAAAAGGGAATTTCGTTGAGACTGACAAGTTTGAAGCCAGTGGTCTCATCAATGGCTGTCATCCTCTGTCGGGTATATTTTTTCTTAGCAAGTCCTGTGTACCCTTGCAAACACCTCTCATTCAAACTATTTGAGAACAGATAAATTCACCACATCTAAACTGGTTCCGGAATAATTTCCCTCCTTCCAGTTCATTCGGAGGAGGTTCAGATCAATATTTGAATTTCTTCTGTCCGTTTATGCACCAGGAACTTATGTAGTACAAAAAAGCGAACGTACTACATTTCTCGTGAAAAATGAAAGGAAAGTTTGACCTCTCTACGTGATAGGGCGTATTGGAAATTCGTCTACTAACTCCGCATTTCGGATTTCGCGATAAACAAGGTCTCGGCCATAATGAAACCCAACGGAAGCAAGAGATAAACTGCCTCCTATATAATTAATTGTTTTTAATGCTGTTCTTGTTACATTTTGTATGATGGTACGGCAATGAATAATAAAGTCATGTTCAACTGAACCCTATCTACGTTAGTTATGCGTGGTTATTTTTGAATGACCTTGGTTAATTGTATGGATTTGTCTGAAGCTTTGAAGTTCAAAATTAGAAAGATGTCAAATAAAATCGAATGATATAACGAGGAAGTTGAGAGTTAACTAATTTGGTCTACATCATGGATAAACGACCTCTGTATTTCCTACAATCTAACCTTTTAAATGAATTTGGTAATCACTTTGGCTTTCTCCAAATAAAGAGGCGCCTATGAACTGGGGATTTCGTTACAATTTCGGTGGATTCTTTATCAGAATTTTAGATAATGTTCGGAATAAATGCGCGGAGAGAAATGTGTTACCTAGAATTTCGATAGGGTTAGTTCAATGTGGAAAACGTTCATATATAAACGTAGGCTCTATCGATTCTGTCTGGATTGAACACTCCTGTTTGTTTTTCAGTGGAGTACTACGTCCATACCGATTTGCATGAATTTGGCACACCAAGTATTCATTATCGAGAGGAAAAACAGCATGCAGATTGTTCTATACCTGCCTAACAAAGTGATGGATATTACGGTTGACATGGAACGTTTGTGAATCTGCGTATATTGAGATGTGCATGTCGAACTATGGCCAAAAGAATCGGGGAAACTTTGCATGCAAAATAAAATGCTCTCAATGTTACTCAAAAAGTTTTATAAGCACAATGCAAAATAAGTATCACGCAATTACTTGCGAATGGCTTGTGGGACTGACTAATATTTGTTTGGCTGACTCTCCTTTCGACTCCACCTTTCACTCAGGTCATCCGACAAAATCTGCACTTGGAAGTACCAGACTATAATTTCACTTTTATAAAAGCTGATCAGTGCTACACATCCTCCGCCGCACTCGGGGTGGCGCAGAGGTGACACACACGCCTTCGAGGTGAAAGGCCTGGGTTCAAGCCTTACGTGCGGCCAAGGATATGCACCCGTGATGAGCTCTAAGAAGATCGAAAGTCGAGTCTGGTGCTTCCGAATACGGAGCTGTTCGGATGACGCGAAACTATGAGTGAAGGGTGAAGTTCAAAGGACAGTCAGCTAAACAGTGTAGAATCTCTGCAACTGTTAACAGCTTGCAACAACCCCGTACCTTTGCGTTGATTATGTTTGGAATCACTGTCTCTGCTCCAAAGACCGCTTTAGGGTATTCAGGGAAAACCTGCTCAAAGCGACAATTTTGACATAGAGTTCCAGCAAATGAGCTTAACGGTATCTTGAGACCTTTGTTTCTCACCTCTTGCACGTTTACGTTCTCACTAATTCTTGTTTGGGATAAATGATATATGTCTGCTCCGAGTAAAACAGTCAGCCATTTGGTCATTGAAATGACAGTATTCTTCCAGTCTTCTTGTGACCTTCCACCCAAGCACAGACTACTAAAGAATTAGTCTAATTCAAACATATTTCACGTATTATTCGGGTCATAAATCTAGTAACTAATTATTCTGCTCAGACCTTCGCAACCCAGGTAGTGTTCAAATATCCAGTAAAATATTGAAACTGGGTTTTTATCAGTAAAGCTATCAGCAGTGTTTAACGGAGCTACCTAACTAGCCAGTTCTACTCAGTTGTGACTTTAAAATAAGAAAATGTGCTCTGTCGAATGAGTCGTATTGAAGTAACTACGATCAACCCCTTCACCGAAAACCATGAAAACATAGTACTCTGTCTTATCCTTGCTAGAAATCATCAGCAGAGACCTTTGAAAAGCTAGCAACGGAAGGGGCTGTATCGTGTATTGGTGACTTGAAACAAACCATTAAGAGCCAGTCCGGATAGCCAGGTTGTTAGGTATTCTACTCTCAGTTGAGACTCAGCGTATGTGAACTGCTGATGATTTCTATGAAGGAAAGGATCAGCTGCACAGTGCTTCCGTGGTTTTCAATAGTGAGTTTGGCGTTGTTACTGCGCAATGAATCTTTTGACAGGTTCAGCTACTACTCATATTTATCAGATATTCCAATGGGAAACTCCGATCTCTTTGCAGATTTAGGGAAAAAGCAAAAAATAAATAGAATAGTAATGCAAACCCATGACAATATATATATAATAACTGATAGGTATCACAAATTAAACCGACCGTGGACTTACATTGTCGTCTTTCTCGAGGTTAGCTGCTCCTGGCCCACAAATAACTATCGGCTGACCACAAACTTTATCCTCTGATGGACACTCTGACAAGTGGCACTTGCTTCCATTCCTACTGCGAAAACGAGATCGTTGTCAATTAATTTCTAATCTTATTGATATAGAATCTTGGACTAAGCTATGAGCTTATTTCTGGACGTGAGAACTGGCTATTTAGTTGAAAGCTGGATATGGAAGGGAGATAAATGCAGTTTGTTTGATTGAAGAAATACATGGTGTCTAGTTTGGAAGTCGGACTTTGTTTGCCACGTGGTAAGGCTTGGGTGATAAGATCCAGTTACTTTCAGAAGCTCATGCTTTGCAACCTTGTCAAAGAAAATTGGTGAAGAACGTTTTCCAGTGGTGTTTTCAGTGCAGCCTTCCTAAGTTTGTTTTGTTCAGAGTAAATACCTCCCATAACTTACAACTCAGTAAACCATATTTTTGCTTCAACCTGACAAAAATAATGAAGTTGTACACCATGAAGCACGCAGAAAATCAGAACACTTCGAAGCCCGACGACGAAGTAACCGATAATATGTCTGAGGAAAAATCGTCATCAACTCTGTCATATCGAACAAAGAAAGGAGAAACTTGTAATGGGTTAATACGTCTGCTTTGTGGTGAGAGTCATGGTGGTCTGCCGCAGTTGTTCGAAGTCCACTGCAATCGCCGTCGCCCTATACTTCCCATCCACTCTAGCGTTAAATTCAGTGTTTCGGGAACAGGAGCCAGTCTTTGTTCAAACTTGTTCTATGCGTTCCCTTGCATCCGTACTGAAGTACAAACTGGGAGCCTGGGTGAGCACATAAACTACGAATTTGTCCACGGTTGAATCGGATGACTCAGTCGATCCCGGGGACAGTGTTGTTTACGGGTGGGAGTGGAAGAAGTTACAAAACTGCTCGCTGTTATATCATAACAACGGTAACAACCCACATCATTGTCAAGGTTTTTTAAATCTTTCTCGATAGTGCAGAGGGTGTTTGATACCCCTTTGTTCTGTCCACAGCACCCAAATACACTGATGGAAAAGAAAGTTCCATGGGAAAACGGTGGATCCCTCAAACAGAAAGTATCACCCTAAAAATGGACTCTCCGTTAATGCTCGCCCCATTCGATCCAAGTCGGATTACGGCTGCAAACTACCTGTGGAGTGCTCGAGTATAGGGATCATTGGGTGGAAGTTTACCGAGTACGCGTGCCTGATGAGGAGCAACAACCGCGACACCGGTCCTGGTGCTCACGGAGAAATTCTGTCCTGTCATCCAGACACAATGACATATAACTCATGTCGAAAATACCGTTCATACTTGCAAATTTGTTGCTTAGAAAAGTGTTGAGTACGTGGAGCTAGATAAATGAACTAACAGTGCTCGTCTAATGCACGTTATGCTGTTTTTGAACACCAGGCACGTATGAATTGTTTTTTAGTCATGAATGCAGATCGCTATAGAAAAATGAAAACAGCTGTCCAAACCAAACCCAGAAATTGTCACTCACCGCGTTCTCGATACTCTCGTCGTTCTCACTGAATTTGGTAAAATTTACAACCGGGTCGACCAAGTCAACACCGTTGTAAATAGAAGAAGCACGTGGTTCGTCATCGTGATATCGGGTCACACTGAGCTGATGTCTGAAATCCATTGAGAATAACGGAAGTCAAAAAATAGGACGAAGTCTAGTTCTCTAACCGAAACGGTCTTTGATTGTAAGCAACTGAAAATATTCGGCTAAATTAAGCAGTCAGTCTGTTTGCCAGTTAACCAGTCAGTTATTCAATCAACCATTCAGTTGGTCAGTTAGTTATTCTTTCATTTACTCTTTGGATCAATCGGTCAGTCATTCATCCAGCCAGACAGTTGATCAATCAATCAATCAATCAATCAATCAATCAATCAATCAATCAATCAATCAATCAATCAATCATTTAATTAATTAATTAATTAATTAATTAATTAATTAATTAATTAATTAATTAATTAATTAATTAATTAATTAATTAATTAATCATTCCATCAATCAATCAATGAATAAATAAATAAATAAATAAATCACCTATTAGGTAAGCCATTCAGTCAGTCAGTTAGTCAGTCACTCAGTCAGTCAGCCAGCCAGATTTTCAATTGTTATCCCGTCTTATTCAATTCTTTTTATTGTGCAATGATAATGCAATATTTCAGGAAGCGGTTCTAGGCCGATTTAAAACTGCCAATTGAGTTGACCACTTAATCAGTGGTTCATTCCGTTTGTCAGTCAAGTGGAGAGATAGAAGCAGTCTCTGGAGTGTAAATAGTTAGTTGCTTGAATAATATCTTGGTGGAGACTTTTGACTCTACTTAGCCGTGGAAACCCAGAAGTATCAAATAACTGGCCTTCTCTATATAATTCAAGCCTGAGTTAACGTTTGAGCGTCAAATGCACCACGGATTGTAACAGAAGTCAACCAAATGGTGGCGGGTATCACCATAAAATGCTGGGTGCTGTCTGACCTCATCACATGGGCAACTAGGCGGTGTTGTTAAACTCCACTTCCACTCTAGTGGAACCAAAGTGGTTTGTTACTGTTCTTTCACAGCTTTTCCTGTGACCAAACTGATAGAAATCGCAATCAAATGTGAATTCAATGAAATCACTTTGCTCTCCGTGTCAAGTTATCTTGGGTGATCATTACTGATATCCTCAAGACTGAAAGCTCTTATCTTTCGTTATTCGACGATTAGGATTACAATTATAGTTGAGCCAGGGTTTCCATGCACCCCTTAGACACCCGGTTGCTGCATGATGCACTTCTGAGAATATTTGGCTATACAACGAATGAAGTCACTTTGAAGGGTTCTGTAAATTCTGCGGGACCAATCTGGAGTGAGCTTCGTCAGAAGAAAGGTCCAAGGACAAAGATATAAGCAAACAAATCTCCTTGGTGAAATTCGAGTCAGGCCGTCAAATTCAGCATTTAGACCAATGCATGATTCAAATCCATCCCATGACCGAAATCATCATCTAGGTGCTGGGTAAAGGAGACACCATCCGAACTGTCGTGGTGCAGACATTCAGGCGGATTTGGTGAGGGGAAGGTTGCTGGTTCGATTTCGGGGTTGAGACTTAGACCTCCTGGTGTGAAAATTTAATACGCGGATTTTTACGATTTATAACGAAAATCACTGTGTATCAAAGTCGCGTGTATTGTTTCTCTTTTGGGATTACCACCCAATTTGAACTATTCAGTTTTCTTTGGCAATTTCTAGAATTAAAACTATCAGTGAGGAGATCAGGGTAGCTTTAACTGAATATCTAAAAGGTTTTGGTAGCATTGTCCTTCAGGTCACGTGTCCATTACTACAAGCCGTTGGGAAACCGGGAGAAAGTGCAATGACATTCACATATCACAATGATCTGTGAGGCATAGGCACAAGTCACGTGATGTGATTATCACGTCTTAGGACATGCATAAACTGCCTTAACTGATCTTTTATCGATTTCCGATCTCGCAAACGACCCAGTGTACCAGGCGCGTTCAGCAGTCTGGAGATAACCCGTTTAAATTTACTCCAAGTAGGAAGACGGTCAAAGTTTCTCCTCTGGTATATCACGCGCACCCATCAATTGAGGGCAAATACGGAAATAAATTGATTTGAACTGTGAACACGGCAGCTGTTGCGTACGTTTGTCCCGTGAGGGCTACAGTTCTTCCTGATTTCTCTCTGTTGATGCATAGCTTGGGTAGTTTCTCACATGAATTTCTTTTGACCTGTCTAATGTGAAATGCTAAGAAGTATGCTTCGAGTTTACTTGAAACGGGGAAGAACAAGATTTCTAGTTCACTGTTTACTACACTCACGGTTTTGAAAGACATCGCATGTATGTGCATGAGAAAAGGTTTTATATAAACTTTGATCTAGCTGAAATGCTCCAGTTATTATTCAGAAGTAAGACTTAATTTATTCTTATCTTACCGATTATTTTTCATTGATTTACAGGGAACATACTTGAGTTTTAAAAATCAAATATATCTCAAGGTGCTGTACTTAAACCCGAAAAAGACGATATTTCATCGTATCTTACCTCGTGTTGTTCAATGTTTTACTGTCGTGTTATTTTTATTGAGTAATAACTACCGGATGGCAGTTATTAACTCTGCATTCACATTTACACATCAAGTCGGACAGAAATGAAGGGGTTCGTGTTCCAAAGTACATTCTCCGTGGGTCTGAATAGTGTCACCGGTCGTAGCTCAGCTTGGTCGGTGTTATGCATTCTGTATTGCTGTGAATAACGTTTAGGTTGTGAACATTTTGTCGACATTCAGGGGAAAATTCCAGCGATGTGGTACCATAAACAATATGTATTTCGCGATGATCAAGGCTTCGATCTATCTATCGAGCAGTTCAATCCACTTCCCAGTATCTATAAGTCTGAGTTTTCGCTCGGACTACGACTTTACCGCTTCTCATTCGTGATGTGTTGGATAATTCCAAATTGAAGAACCAAAAAAATGAATCCTTCTATAGTTACAGCCCATTCTTGTTCAGGAAAGACACTGAAAGCGTTCTGAAAAGCAGTTGAAATTAATAACATTGACATTGTGATTTTTAGTAATATTATTATAGGGATTCTTCACGAAGTCAAAACCCCTCATGTGAACATCTACTGGGTTTTCACCCTAATCTGTGTATTATAAACCGATGATCACCTCACACTTTTTCGTAGTGCGTGTATGCAAATTTATCTGCTTCCGTGGACTCGATCACATCTGGGTTACCAATCGATAACTGCTCATGACTTTTCACTACCGTCATCCTGTAAGTGTAGAAGAAAAGCGAGTGATACCATCTGAAACTCTATGAATCGCAGTCTCTTCTGGGTTCTTTCAGGCAGTTTGAAAAACCCATCCAGATCAACTCGGTGATTATAATACTTCCCAAAAACTGGATGACCAGTATCTGAGTGGAGATTTTAAATCGCATTCACACAAAACTCCGTTCAGGCTGATCACAGTTCACTAAGTTCAATAAGTGCCACCACACAACTTTTATTCTCACATTATTTCAAATGTACGACCGATTCAACTGCAAACTTTGTCTATGTTCCAGTGCTGTAGACTTTTAGCACTCACGTATTTTGCATCCCTCTCTTGTCCAGCTATGTGACACACATGACAACTACTCAAAGTGCTTGTAACTCCACCACTGCTTGTCTTCGTTCTTCGGTATACATTTTATTTCTATTAAAATTCAGTAATTTATGAAATCGAAATTCCAGTTATCACATTGTGTATACTCTGAGTTCATGTTAGAAACAGTTTATGACGAAGGCATTCATCTGAACCACCATTATTACTTTGGATCCATGGAGAAACATAATTTTGAATTCCACACTTTGAAGACCACTCACTATTAATTGCCTCTAGCAACAGTCTCACAGATGGGATTCACAGCAATGCATATGAATACGTCGATGTGAGCACAACCAATCGAAGGGTGGTCGAAGTCTCTTGGGAGCACACGACGAGTTTTACGGTTATTTCTATTCATCGGACATGCGTATCTGATATTGTTGTTTCCTTTTTCCCTGATACTCTACTTGTGTCAGTTTACAAACAGAGAAGTACCGGTAACCCATTCCTTACAAGATGAAATAAATGCGAAACCGGTATTGTGCTTCCGGAAAACTACCTCCATCCGTCTATAAATGGTAATTATATCAAGATGATCGCACTTGCAACCAAACGAATATCGTTCTCCAGGTCAGCTGCGACTGACCCACCTAGAACTATTAAAGAATCACAGATTCGACTACTCAATGGATCCTTTAAATTGGATCATATACACGGAGACTTTCGCCGGAACTTTCAGAACAGTTGCTGATCTCTTCTTGTGACTGTTTGAAGGCAAAGAATGACATCATTGTTTGAAAGTTTAACGGAAACCCGGTACCAACTTAAACTACGGATGTAGTAAACCTTAGACCGCAACAAATGATTAATTGTGAACCCGTTGTTTTTTCTGTAGGAGGTGACCTGGTTTAGATCAGAGTCTTTTGACGGACGCAATCTAGAGGTTTGCACAGCAGTTGGATATCCAGTGATTTAATTTACTTCCAGTCTTGAAACTGCGTTGACTGCAAATCGCAAGTGGTAGATCTCGCACTATTGGGGTTACTGGAACTTTGCATTTGGTCGGTTTTGAAGCTAACCAAATAAGGCTATGAATGAAGATCACCATTCCGTAAATGGAAATTTTTTTTATAAAATATAAACCATTACCGGTTAGAATGTAAGCCAATGATATTCACCAAGTCGGAGGAAGATAAAAAAAAGAAACCGGGCCAGATTCTGTAGTTGAAAAAGAAGGAATCTTTAGAAGTTTATCCACAGGATATATGGAAGATAACTCAAAACGGCAAACGAACTTATTTCCCGGTTTTATTATTACTATTCTTATGCATCAGGTTTCGAGTCAGGCTTGGTGTTGCATCACAAGAACAGGAAGAGGAATTGTGAGCTGATCTACTGCTCGGTTGCTAAGTTAAGAGTAGGAGGATGATAAATGGTACCTTTTCTGGCTTTTCTGTTCAAGGGAGCACCTTTAGCCTTTTCACAATTGAGTACAAATTGCAAGGTATATTCAGGAAGAG